ATTTCATTGCACCAGACTTCGGTTCATTTTACCCCTTTTCAACAAATTATTGCAGTCTGGTCACAGCTGAAAGGTTTGGGGTTCAATTCTTGTGGTAGGATAGAAGCATTTGAGCATTTTCCCTTTCATTTGCTGTCTGTGCTCACCTAGCAGTAAATATGGACTTGGGCGTTAGGTAACTGTTGTAGTCTGGATCCCAGGTCAGTAACTGACCTAGCGGGACAGATAAAGATCATTCAATATACCTTAAACACAACATGAATTTTAAATTTGTTTATATTTGTCTATAAAGGGATATAATTATTTTGTTTAATTTTTATATAATTTCATGTATGTATCTCTGTTATTGGATGAAACCAAAGTTGCCTCCATATTTTGCAATGGACTTCAAATCTTCCAGTACACCCAGCATTCTTATGAAATGCACTCCAATTGAATGTCAGTATACATAGTACAGTAAATACAATAAATATTAGAAAAGAAAGTTTCACAAATGTAAAAAAAAAAAAAGACACTTTAAGATACTTTAGTTCTGTTGAGGTCTCCACATTATTTGGCCAGTGGTAGAATAAGTTGCAAAATTTTATTAGGCCTAGCAAAATGTAGGATTATTCATAAAATAGTTGGTCCCAGTTAATCATTCCTTGTTATGTGGCAACACAATATATGCAATTTTATTAGTATAACTTTTAAATTACACAATTAATTTGATATACCTGTACTGTATATTTTGTTAAAATTCATTCACAGAATTTTAAATATAATTATAAAATTTGAGATGAAAATTAAGCATTACTGTACACGTTTTGATATTTGCAAATGACTTTTGCAATTAAAAATTAAGTTCATTAAGACTAACAACAGTCGCACATAATTGACAACTACTGAACCTGCTCGTACACTAAATGCATCACTTTTATGAAATACTGGACTACAAAATATGTTATTTTACACTTTACTGTATTTGTGAGTCTTAGCGTTGTTATGGGAGTTATCTAGTTGAGGTTTGTACACATTGGTATGGTAAAGACAATCTGCTGTATACAAAAGTCACACCATAAAAACAGGCTGGAATTAAGTTAAAACATACAAAATGTAATTTATTAGAGTAATACATAAATACAATTTATATAACTATCAATAAAATAATGAACATTACATCTGTACAGTACTGGCTGGTGAACTGTGTCTTGTAAAGTCACAAAGCCAGGAAGTGAAATGTCATATTCTGCTAATTGGTTGCCAATGCTATCATCATTTAAAAGTTTGGTAAAAGGCACAATATTCACTCGCTTGCTCACACACGTTAAAGTATGCAGATTTAGAAAATGTCTGCAACCATTATCGTGTTTATACAATCAAAAGACCCTAGTGGGGTACCCAACAGTTCGGGTCGACCCCAAAAGGTTGTACCATTAAGGTGTTGGGAGCCTCTAAATAATATGAGGAAATTATAAAGCTATGAATTCAGCCCCAAACATTTCACCTCCACTGATTTCAATAAGTGGGGCATGGGTGAAGGGGAGGGGGGGGGGTTGTGAAGGCAGACCTCGACTTTTCCAAAACAGTCGTCCCTACACCCACCCCTGTAAAGTTTAATGTGTCTGGCCTCCAACTTAGGACACACACACACATCCTCATTTAAAGGTATAACTCGCTTTACTTTATCGTCCCTGCTCTCTCCGACTTCTGAATCATTATGTACAAACACTCGAGACACGCAGGCTGGTTGGCTGTGCTTATTTAATTTTAGAAATTATTTTTCTGAATTTTAAGGGATTTAATTATATTTTGGTCCAATGTGTTTTCCTTTGGAATTAATCTTGTCATGTTGTACTGTGGAGGCTGAGGGAAAAGTAATATTTGATATATGAAGTTTGTAATATGAACAACCTCACCAGAGCCTATCCACTGTACAGGTATAATATTTTGAAATATCTGGTTACCATATAATTTGGTGTTGGTCAGATACATTTTTGTTTTGTATTTCTGCTGAAATTCTTATGTACTGTATATATATACTGTACAATATATATTTAATATTTTTGTAATAAAGTATGATGAAACTGAGAAAAAATATTTATTACGATGCATATGATTTTCCAAAGAATTACCTACTACATACAATTTCTTTGGCTAAGATTGACCAAGTTTTATGTCAGATGTACAAGAGTCTGTGATATATGCAGTAATGAATCAATAGTAATTTTGTTCCCCCCCCCCTCAATAATGCCAGTTTTGCATTTTTATGCAGCAGTTATTCATGTATTAAAGATATTTAATCAACCTTGTTTTTTAATAACTCTTATTACTGTACTTAGTTAATTATTAAAATATGATTTTGCACTTTATTTTTAATAGTGTCGATGATCTGAAGGGACAATTCTGAATGTTGGTACTGTATAAAATGTTGACGTATGCACGTGTGTCGGTATTCCCCTTCGGTGTGTGGTTAAATCTGTTAATGATTTCTCTTGCTTCCGGTTGTCTGTTTCAAAAGCTTCGTGCTCTCCTCGAGAGGCAGAATTTTTGTTCTTTTGGCCCTGATGGGTATTTTGTTCATTTGCAGCTGGCTCCTTTTCTGATGAAGAATGAGTTTGTTGGTTTCTGGAGGAGTCCTCTGGTTGGTTTGGCCAAGGGTACTCGCCTAGTTGTGCTTGCAGGGGTTGAGTTTTGGCTCATTGGTTTATCATGTGCACATGATACAAGGGTGTATCATGTGCTGTGTTTGATGGAAGCTCTCAGTCACTACCTTTGTACCACCGTTTCTGCATCAGTGGATGCCTTATTGGTTAATCCCTTTTCATCAACCCCCAGTTCCAATGCTTGTCTATTTCAGGTTGTCCACAATGTCTAAGCGTAGCCAGCCTATGATCTACCCTCGTGCCCAAGAAGTTAGGAAGTATGCCACTCTGTTGACAGAGTTTGCAAACCTGTCCCGAGCTGATGTTCGAGTGCTGTTTTTTTTTTTTTTTTTTGGTCAAACACTATTCAGGAGGCTCATTATCTCACTAATGTTGATGGGCATCGACACCCTTGTGTGGCTTTAGGTCGAGTCTCTTGGTTGGATGTCTACTCTTCATCTTGACTCCTGTGGTGCTTCCTCCTTCCATCGTGAGTTTTGGTATGTTTTCCCCTCTTATGTGTGTAGTTAGCTTCAGGGAGCCACAAGGTGTTCTTTCCCCAGAAACCTGCGTTAAATGCAATGTAATGCCAATATCAGGGTGAGCCCTGATGGCTCTCTGATCCTCTTTCCTTCCCATCCTGGTTGTCAAGTGGATACCTATACCTGCCATCTCAACTAAAAGTGAGGGTAGATATGCTGGCTGGTGGTGAGCTACCTCTGCCCTCCCCTCAACCAAGTGGGAGATGTGGGGTAAATGAGCTCACACTAGTTCCGAGAGAATTCAATCTTTTGTTTACATAGTTTTTCATAGGGTTTCAAAGCTTTGGTCTCAAGCCACCAGTGATTTTCTAGTTGCCTTCCCTGATGAGTTAGTGAAAATAAATGTCACTGCTCTCTGCACTTCTTTGAGGGAGGCCAGGTTCTTGCACTAGCCCCCAGTAGGCCTATAGAACAAAATGGCTGATGTGACCTAGTACTGTATATGGTACCATCTCGGTGTAAAGTTGCTTCAGGGAGCAACTGGGGTTCGGCCAAAAATTGGCATTTCATTACAGCAAAGCTGGTTGTTTGTTCATATCTAAAACAAAACAAAACCAAAAAAAGTACATCCTTGAAAATAAGGATGTGAAACTACAGTTGAGTCAGCAAAATGACTTAGTTGGCTCACTAAGCTTGTGTGTATTGGCATTTATTCAGTACCCGATGCCCAGGTATGCAACTCGCCAACCAACTTGCTAATTACAATTCAATTGATTTATAAATATAGCAATGTAATAAATATTTTGTGTATAATTTGTATAACTGTATTCTGGAGAACTGGTTTGAAATAATTATGTATTACCATGTGATGACCAAACCATACATCAGAAAATGAAGCAACTACTACATTTCAGTCCCTTCTGGACCACTATTAAGAACAGTGCAACCTCGATTCGGTGAACTATTTAGGACCAACCCCAGTTCGTTGCAACAGGTGCATCACCTGTTGCAATTTTTGTAAACACCTCCAGGAGGCATTTGAATTGATGTCTTTTTTTTCTTGTAGTTTAATATATGAGAGGAAGGGCCAGGCAAATAAATAAGAGAGTGATGTGAGGAGCAGGTAAGAGGAAATGGTATGAATAAGATGAAAGGTAAGAATAAGAATGGAGGCAAGAGTAAGAGAAATTGGCAAAACTTAAGTTAGATAACATGCTGTAGGGTACTGTGGAACCTCGTTATTCATACTGCTCCCAATTTGTACTTTTTGGCATTCAGATGCTGTGTTCATATTTGGTATTTGTCCGTTGGCTCGGCATTCACCTGTAAACACACGTCAGTTTCATCATAGCTGGCATTCAGTGCATAACCCACTACACTTTTCCCTTGGATATTTTTTCTATTTTTTATATTCTTAGTGTAAAGAAGTCACCCTATCACCTAAGAAAGTCAATGATAAGGGCCAAGTAAAAAAGAAAAATGGTTAGAACCACGATATAAATGAAGAAAGACCTCATAGTTAACTATGAAAGTGGTGCTCACGTGTCTGCTCTTATTACAGAGTATGCCTAAAGTTTGGGCATACATAAAGTTACAGTTTGGTATGCCTAAATCTAGTTCTCTAATAAAAGAAATGTGTGCAAAACAGGAGGAAGTGCAAAGTTTTCTTGAAAAAATATCACTCTGACAAACTGTGATATAAACCTATTGAATGACAATGCTATGTCTCACTTCAGAACATTTTAAAGTGCAGGCAAAAGCAATCATCACTGGACAAGTTTCTTGTAAGTAAAGCATCCAGTCTAATGAGAGAAACAGAAATAGACAGAAAAGTGAAAGAACCTCCGTAGCACAACTACCAAAAGTAATAATGGTAGGGGGACTCTCCTGCCTTAGAATAACATCTCTCTTCCTCTGCCTCACCACCTTCCACATATGCCATCAATTCTCCTAATAGCAAGTAAAGTGTGTAGTGTATTAGCATTTATTTCATTGAATTTTTGCATAAATATATTTATTTGTTTAGTATGGAACGGATTAATCCAATTTACATTATTCCTTATGGGATTTTTCTTCTTCAGTATCTGTACTTTCCGGCATTCGTCCTGCCTTCAGGAACCAAGTCCAAATACCGAGGTTCCACTGTACGGGTATGTACTTCAATGCTTTAACCTGCTTAACAAATATGATCTGACTTAAGCTTTACCCCTTTCTCTTATTCTTACCACTTTTTTTTATTCTTGCCTTTCCTCTTATTCTTACCTTTCAACTTATTTTTCTCTTACCTGCTCCTCAACTCTCATCTCATACTCTTACCTTATTTATTTGCTTGTCCCTTCTTCTCTTATATTACACAACTTGGTAATGGTCCAGGATGGACCAAAACGTTATTTCTTAATTTTCTGATGTCTGGTTTGGTCACCATATCTTCAGCCATGTTATTGTGACTTATCTGCATATGTATTACCATTATGGTACAGTAATACATATGTTATGGGGTCATAACATCACCTTTAGGGAAACTTGGAAACGAGTTAAAAATTATGTAATTCTCAAAATCTAGTACAGTATTCAAATTTCAATTAAAAACATGGAATACATAGCTAGTATATATATCCAAATTATTCCTACAACAAATAGTGGTTTTCACTTACTCATCTTTCCATCATTCTTTTCATTTGTATATACAATAGCCAACACCTTTATTTCCTTTCGACTAGCGAAATCTTCCATTTTCAACGTATCACCACTAAGATCTATACAATGAAGAGTGAAATAACAATCGGGATGAACTTTGCGCACATGGTTTCTAAGTGTGGTAGAATGTAAAAATCGCTTGAGACACACACTACACTCATATTTTGCAATATCTCTTTCTATATTGTCTAAATCATATTCATCTAACAGCTCACAGTTGTTCCCATTTAACACCATGAGCTGCTGATCATGGTGGTGAGTTTTCATATGATGGTAAATGAAATTTTGTCTCGTGTTACAGAAAATGCAATATCTGTCTTCCATATTGTTACATTTCTGGCAACCTTTAAATGCTGAAATTAACTTTTTTCGCTCTTTCTCTATATACTCTATATTAACTGGGTGGTCCATTTTTCTCATGTGGTCAAGTAAAACACAAATTTTTTTGTATGAATTGCCACACGTGTTACACACGGCCCACTCGCAGCTGCACTCCTCCGGTTCTTCCTCACTTCCTACAGTTTGAGATTTGGATGATATAAATAAAGAGCAACGTGGACATTTCTTCTTATCTTTTATCCTCGTCTTAATCATTCCAGGAAGGGCATCAAAATTTGCCCTCGTCTCGTGCCCAAGTCGTCTCATGTGATGATGAAGGCCTTGAGGAGTGCAGAAATATTTGTCACATGTCATACAAAGGAACTGCTTTGCACAAGTGCAACCCGTGTCAGTTTTAATTGCGGATTTGCCAACATTCCCTCGATGTAATAAATTCATGTGTGTGTCTGCTGCTTCTTCATCATCAAAATGTATATGTGGACAGTGTGGACACAAAATATAATCTAAATATTGGAACTTTTCACAAGCAGGACAATTTTCTTTAATAATTTTATACTTTCTCCACAATTCTCTTATACTGTTCCAGTTATTATGATTATTTAACCTGACATGCTTTCGAAGATCTCCTAAATTTGTAGTAGTTTTGGGGCAGTCGGGACACTTTAACAATGGACAAATGCAATCATTAGACTCAGAAGACTTCTTTCTTTTAATTCTTGGTGTCCTTTTGCCTGACTGAGCTTTCTGGAGAATGGTGTAACACATCACCTCCCCAGCTCTGTCACAGGTGGAGAGCTGTGACTCCGCGTGTGACTCTTCATTCACACATACTATTGCATTTTTTAAAGAAACATTAGGTGGGCACCACTCCAGTAGTAATGTATATTTCTCTTCTGGACACTTTTCCATTCTAAGTAAAACTTTGATAAACAGATAATAGTTTACAATGCTTAGTTTTCCTAATATTGCACACTGAGGACAGTTAATGGCAAGGTGCCCATCAGAGTGGAGGGAATATGGAGAGTAAAACCGACGGTGATCTAATAGTATATGATGTAACAAGTCAATGCGTAATCTGAATGTTAATTTACATCTCCCACACTCATAATGAGCACAGTTGCAATCTAACATTTTCAAGTGCTCAGATACTATATCTAAGAAATCAGAATCTGGGTTAGAAAGCATATTGTTGTTTATCTTTACAGCGTGATTCTTCATCATATGGTTCTTTAGATGATAACAGGAGAACGTGTCTGAACATAAAAAGCAGCTCACCTCAGAACAGCACGTAGGGCAGCTATTTATTTTTGTTTTATTTTCCTGTGATATTAAATTCTCTCTCTCACATGTACAACCTGCTTGTATAAACTTCAGACACTGCAGAAAACAGTCTTTTAAAGCTATGGGATATCTGAAAGATGGGCTGTTATTTGTACTGTGCACGGCAGTAGAACATTCACCTCCCAAGCTACTCTCAGGATATTTACATGATGGATTACTTGTAAGTTGAACATTAGAACATCCAGCTTCCAAACTTCCCTCACCGTCTTGATTTTGCTGGTTTTCTGATATGGTGATAATAACCAATGTGTCATCTGTTTCAACATCTACATTCTCAATATCATTCACAACAATTTCTTGAGAATCTGAATGTAGTATAGTCTCATCACAACTGGTAGAGGGTAATGCAACCTTCCTAACATCTTCAATATACTTTAAAGGTGATTCTCTATGGCAAAGATGTTTTCTGTGCATGTCTGAAGCTACTTCTTTGACTCCTGCTATATCTTTTAGAAAGCCATTACCCACATCAATTAGACAATTTTCATTCATACTAATTTCATTAGAATCCTTATCATGAGGATAATCCTTAATGGTCAATTGTGACTTTTTTGTTTTCTTAGAATGCCTAAAACAATGTGATTTTGCATTTTTTGTTGTCTTTTCTATGCTTTTAAAGCAGGTTTGTTCTATATGACTTTCATCTTTATACTGATATAAATCATGATTAGAAAATGTGGAGGGACAAGGCGAGCAGTTTATGTTTCCAGAAAGAGGTAATGGTTGCTTGAATGTTGTTACATCAAAACCAGTGCTGGTATTATCAACGCATGCATTATCAATGTCAATATTCATTATTGTATGTACTGGCTGAGATGTGCCAGAAAGAAATGTCTTTCCACAATATCTAAAAGATTCATTAACATCACTAACCTTGTGATTCTCATCAATTAGCTGGCATGCATTACGAGAGACTACCTTATTGAATACAGTCTGTTGCATTTTGGCTAGACTGCAGTGTTGTGGTTTCCTCCTCACGAGTCACTTGTTACTTGGTGGGGAGACAAAACATAATCATTCCCCTCCCACTAAGTACCTAAGGCCTCATCATCTTGATGAGTGGTGATCTGTCACTCTCCAGTGATTCTTCAGATTAAGATGTTAACTGAAGACTGCTAAGCAAACTATATATAAATGTTATCCTACAGGGACATTGTTATTGTTCATTATAACCAAATTCTCTATGGAGCATTCTAGCTGTTAGCTTTTATTTTATTTATTTTTGTAAATCATTTAGTGCTGCTGCTTGGTTAGAATCCAGTTGCCTGCCAATGTTTTTTATGCTTGAATTTTCAAAATCTGACTAGAAGCAGAGAACACTGAAATACTGTTTCTTCAAGCATGTAGTCACTGACTCCACTTCCAGTACTATTTGGCTCACAACTACTGATGTTCAATAGCTTATGAGTCACTTTCATATGATCCTAAGCACTTTTCTCTGTAGGAAAGCATATAGAAAAAAGCCACTCATCTTAAACATCATCTTGATTACACACTTTTCGATTTGTGTGTAACTCTGATTCTGAACACTAACAATATTTGCCTTCTACTTGCTGTACACTTCGTTTCTTCGTGGTGTTGCCGACAAGCTAATGATTTGTACTCGGCAGGTCATTCATCACAAAGCAAGGGCTACACAAACACTGTAGACTGACCATTATTTAACACGTATAGAACTTGAAAATCATTTGTCAATGAACTATTGAAGATGTCTATAGCACACACTTTTTTGTTGAGGGTTCTAAATACGTTTCCTTACAAAGTTTTCAGTAGTCTGACTGAAGCAATGATTAAAGTATCACTGGTAGCATCATGGATTGGCTGCTCAAGTCCACAATAGGATATCACACATACAGTACTCTGAAAAATATAAGCAGATACAGTATTATATTTGGGTCATTTAGAAGCTGAACTACTGTAGTCAATAATCTGTGCAATATACCTATCTATATCTCTATAGCCCTGATCATTTGTTCCTTGACGAAATCCTTTGTGAATCTGATACCTTTGATATCTTATCTTGATACCTTATGTGGTTTTGTTCTCGTATTGGTATCCTTAGTGATAATTAGAGCCTTTTGAATATCTAGTGACACTGATGGTGTTAAATAGTCTCCCCAGCTGTGTGACTTCTTTTGATAATTACTTATTCAGTAGCCCTGATGCCTTACTCATTTCTGGGAGCTTATCTACCTCAGCAAACTTCTCAAGGAGGCTCGTCATAAAAATCCTTCCCTCTTTGAAGCGCTTCAACACCTTCCTTCACTCATTTTTTCCTATGTTATTTTCCGTGTCTTCTCTTCCAAAATACTGGTATTATTGTAGCATTATTTGTAGGTTAATAAGAACTCGACTGAAAGTGTAACTGCCAGTATAGTGTATGGTGGTTTGTATCTATTCAGAGTTTATCTGAATTTACCTGAGGGCTGCTAACACTAGTGGCCTTGATGAGGACAGGAAGCCGGTAGCTTATCAAAGGTCTCCCCATTTGCCCTGATGATTTTTTCCAGCTGGATTTAAAAATTTAGCAGATTTGGCATTTACGGCTTCAGTGGGTAGGCAGTTCCATGGGTTTATAACCCTGTGGGTGAAAAAGCATCTCCTGTTTTCTGTCCCACATTGTGATGTGTTGAGCTTGGACCCGTTGCTCTTTATTTGCATTACATCTGACCTTGAAGGAAATTATTTGCTTGATACCTGCTTGATGGGGTTCTGGAAGTTCTTCTACTCCCCAAGCCCGGCCCGAGGCCAGACTTGACTTGTGAGAGTTTGGTCCACCAGGCTGTTGCTTAGAGCGGCCCTCAGGCCCACATACCCATCACAGCCCGGTTGGTCTGGCACTCCTTGAAGAAAACAATCTAGTTTCCTCTTGAAGATGTCCACGGTTGTTCCTGGATTAATATCCTCCAAATTGTTCAGTATTTTAAGAGTTTCAATGAGATCTGCCCTGTCATATCTGATTTGCAGTGTTGTTAGCTCTGAGGCCCTCAATTTTTCCTGGTATGATGGCCACAGATGGTGATGGCTTCAGCTGCAAGCAGTTACTTCGGAAGACACGACATATGGCACATTCTCTGCCAAGTACTAAATACATACTGTATATTGTTCTTTGTTTTCATGCATAATCACCAGTATTTACCTTTTTACCTGAGGGCCACTAATGCTAGTGGCCTCGATGAGGACAGGAAGCTGGCGGCTTGTCAAAGGTATTATTATTATTATTATTATGTATTATTATTATAATTAGTAGTATTATTATTTACAGTGCATTCTAGACATGTAGGTTGGGTTTAGCAGTAATTATTACATTTTGGATGTAGCTATTATTCACGGGCAATTAATTACTAGTGTGATCAGTGAATTATTTGTTTATAAACTTGGCTATCCTGTTAATTGAACTCCAGTACTCGGGTGGAATAGTGGTGTAAAGTATCTGAAGAAATTATGTCATTTTGTTACATTTCTTATTTTTTTATCTTTGTGTATTCATTTACCTTGCTACTTTTAATAGCTTCAGACAAACAGTAAGCTTTAATTTAATATTTATTGCAAACCAAATCTTTGGGTAATATAAACTCAAATGGGGGAGGTCCCTACATACTTCAGATTATACCATAGAAAATATTCAGATTTATATCTAAATATATATCTGAAAATGGCCAGGCCTTTAAGTAATTTGGAATTCCATAGATAAAGAAAGAGGAACCCCAACATGTGCCCACATTCACTTTCACAGGTCAGGGATGTCATTTCTTTATTTCATTTGATTTATTTCATGTCACCCTAAGCTGCGGTTAGGGGTGACATCTTCAAATGCCATCCCCCCTCCCTCCCCCTTCTTAGTGCACTTACTAGTATGCTCAACCAGTTAAATTCTTTTAACTGGTTGCGCGTACTTTTTAACTGGTTGATTTTATTTATTTATATACTAGAAGGTACATTGGGGGCTGAGTGTTACATTCCTGCAAAGCCACAAACATACATAGGATTTCAAGCAGGTCCTTAAGCTAACCAATAAATACAATAACAGGTACATTGTAATATGTATTCAACATATTAAGAGTTCAGAATACGAGTTCAACATACAGGTAATAATTACATTATAAATGGATAGAATAGATTATACTTATGAAGTTGCATATCTTAAGTACTAAATTGGGAGAGTGGATAGCATAAGATACAGTACGAGTTAGCAGCACAAGGTGGGAAACTATGAAGATGAAATTAGGTGCTTGGAAATATGCTAAACTGAGAAACCGGTCATGTGTTGTATTCAAATTACGAAAAGGGTTCTGAAAAAACATACAGTACCTACTTTCACTCTCATAGTTCCCATCTTGTGCTACACACTCACCCAATTTAGTACCTAAGACATGCAACTTCATCCGTATAATCTATTCTATCAATTTGTAATGTAGTTATTACTGTACGTTGAGCTCAAATTCTGTTACAATGTACCTATTATTACATTTATTGCTTAAGGACCTACTCAAAATGCTATACATGTTTGTGAATTTGCAAGAATGTAACACTTAATACCCCAATGTATGTACTTTCATAACTCAATGCACTTGCTCGTATATAAGTAAACAAATAAAATAAAATAAGGTAATGATTATAGGAAAAAAGGGACACCCAAGAATAACTCCCATCCTTTAACTACACAATACAGTATAATTACCTAAATGTAATTATCCACTCCATGTCAGTAATATCAATTTCTACCCATTATAGAATACTTCAAATTCTGCTCCAGGTGATCTTTCCTTTATCCCGTAACAAATCATTCTTTATACATTCATACATTATTGTTTGCATTAGGAAAGCCATTTTGTCAGATATAGATATTGTCCCCAAAAGGTTTCCTCCACTTTGCATCTGCAAGATAGTGTAGACTTGATGGTTGTAAGATGGCCATCCCTTATCAACAGGTACTCTGAGAGAGAACTATCAACATCAGAGGCCCGAGACTGTTCAACACGCTTCCACTACACATAAGGGGCATAACTGGCCGACCCCTCACAGTGTTCAAGAGAGAACTGGATAAGCACCTTCAAAGGATACCTGATCAACCAGGCTGTGATTCATACGTCAGGCTGCGAGCAGCCGCGTCTAACAGCCTGGTTGATCAGTCCAGCAACCAGGAGGCCTGGTCGACGACCGGGCTGCGGGGACACTAAGCCCCGGAAGCACCTCAAGGTAACCTCAAGGTATCTAATAGTTTGTTCGCTCGAGACAGTTACGTCCCAGCTGCGTCTGGTTACCTGGTTGATACCTGGTTGATGGGGTTCTGGGAGTTCTTCTACTCCCCAAGCCCGGCACGAGGCCAGGCTTGACTTGTGAGAGTTTGGTCCACTAGGCTGCGAGTGTTAAAAATGACAGGATGAACAACCTTGTAGGTTTTCTTCCTATTCAGGAGAGAGGTATGTTCACTCACAGGATGAGTGGCACTACCCAATACTGTCCCTATGGTGGCATCTTCACTCACTGAATGAGTGGCACTGCCCAATACTGTCCTTATGGTGGTATGTTTACTCACAGGATGAGTGACACCGCCCAATACTGTGACTATGGTGGTATTGTCCAGTCACAGGATGAGTGACGCTGCCCAATACTGTGACTATGGTGGTATTGTCCAGTCACAGGATGAGTGACACTGCCCAATACTATCCCTATGGTGGCATGTTCACTCACAGGATGAGTGACGCTGCCCAATACTATCCCTATGGTGGCATGTTCACTCACAGGATGAGTGACGCTGCCCAATACTGTCACTATGGTGGTATTGTCGAGTCACAGGATGAGTGACGCTCCCAAATACTGTGACTATGGTGGTATTGTCCAGTCACAAGATGAGTGACGCTGCCCAATAAATTAGCGCAAAATTAATTAAATTGAACGCTTGACTTTCCTAAAGGAAACCCCTCAGTTGCTTTGGCTTCTCTCCTAAACTACCAATGATTTATGAATGAAAAACACAACACACGACTTACAACTGAAGGGACAGATGTTGGTGCTAATTTACGGGTGAGGACGACTCCGGGAGAGGATGGACGGCAGCTTCCCCAGGCTCGGGAGACGTGGAAAAGAGGAGAAGAAGGAGGAGACGAGTGTTGTGTTGATGGCGTCCAGGGAGCGCTTACGTTCCCTTGCTCACACTTACGTTTTCTGTGGTTAATTGTTGGGGGTGACTTTATAATAAATAAATAAATAAATTTTTATTCAAGTAAGGTACATACAAACAAGGTAAGATACAAAAATTGATGGATTTATAGATAGAGCTAGTACATACAATGCCTAAAGCCACTATTACGCATAGCGTTTCGGGCATAATAATAATAATAATAATAATAATAAAAACAATAATAATAATAATTTATTTAGGAACAGTACATACATAATTGCAGCGTTACAGTACAAACATTATGTTAGATTTAAAGATAGAGGTAGTACATACAATACCTAAAGCCACTAGTACGCATAGCGTTTCGGGCAATTTTTAAGGTAATGCGGGTAAGGTAATGCGTTTCGGGCAATTTTACTTTAGTGTTCGTGGGTCTTCTGCTAGGTTAGGATAAGGCACTTTAAATTAACAAATCTTTTATTTATTTATTTATTTATTTATGCATATACAAGAATGTACATAAGGAATGTGAGGATACAATTATGGTAATTACAGTCTTGTAAAGCCACTAGCACGCGCAGCGTTTCGGGCAGGTCCTTAATCTAAGAAAATTTTAAGGAGGTAAAAATCCACAAAATCCACCAAAGAAAAAATCCACAAAAGAAAATCCACAAAAGCCAAAAAATCCACAAAAGAAAATCCACAAAAGAAAATCCACAAAAGAAAATCCACAAAAGCCGTGATGAAGATTCGAACCTACGTCCGAGAGCATCCCAGACGCTGCCTTAACTTATGGCCGTAGGTTCGAATCCTCGTCACGGCCTTTGTGGATTTGTCCATTTGATGCATACGCTATTGTGATTTGTGTTTAATAAGGCACTTTAGTACGACAGTTTCTTGACGTTGGGAACGCTCGCGAGAACGGGCTGAGTAGTGGGTATTGTTCAAGCGTTGCCTAAACGAGATCATCGGTAGGAGTCATGAGAAGGATTCGAACTTATGGCCTGCGTACACCCAAGCAAACGTCTTACACCACTACACCATGACATGGTCAAAGAGCATTGTTTTCATCGATACATCATGTTTATGGGATTTATTTGTGCGTTGCCATATATGCACAACGCACAATGTTTGGTGGGTTGGAGATGTTTAATTCATAATTCATTTTGTCCGGGGACAGGTAGGCAGTATTACTGACCCTCCCCAGGATGCAACACCACTACAAGTTACCTATGTTAATTACACATATATACACAATTCGACTTGAAAATGGTCCAGGACGGACCGAAACGTCGCCGTCCCTTCACTTTCTAGTGTGTGGTTTGGTCAACACATACATATAAAATTAGTATACGTTATATTTGTTTACGGGTAGCCAGATCAGGCTTCGTAATGCATTCTGTTATATTTAGGGTCTCGGGAGAACAGTCGGGTTCATTCTCGACTCACAATCGGAAATTTCTCGTTCGAATGCCGGGCGAGACAGAATTAATGGTTGGGCCTGTTTCCTATCACCTAATGGCCCTGCTGTTTACCTAGTAGGTTTTAAGAAAAAAAAATAAAAATATAAAAATTCAGGAAAACTTGGCTTATTACGCAAATCGGCCCTTGTATAGTAGGCCGAGAAGTGCATACTGGCTTCTAGGTACGACAGTACCTAGTAGCGTACCTAGTATAGTAGCCTATAGTACCTAGCACTTATGAGGGGGGCATAATATATATTAAAAAAAAAAGAGTACTAGAAAATCAACGCGTGTAATCAGGGAATACTTCAAATTAATTCACATACGGGAACATTTGTAAATTTTTGAACGATCTGAAAATAATTTATAGTTATATATATGTGACCCCTAGCTTGGCGAGGCGGGCTCGGGGGTCGGCGTCGTGGCGGCCGCCCTTAGCGCCAGGGGTCGACACCCTCCTAGAGGAGTTCCGAGCGGTCAGGTCGTGCCCTGCAGCAGCCAGGACCCCCACTCCCATGCCAGCAGTGCTCGCTCGTCCTCAGTGAAGGTAATGTGTGCATAATCTGTCATGTTGTTGTTGCTTTAGGGGCGGCTGCCACCATGCGCCATCACCAAGGTATCGGATGCGCCTCTGATATGAGAGCATACTTAGAGAGCATATCTAGAGAGCATATCTAGGGAACATATCTAGAGAGCATACCTGGAGAGGGTTTCTGTAGTTCTATTTCCCGAGCCCGGCCTGGGGCCAGGCTCTAATGGTAGACTGCATGTTACCCCTCACGTCGGACCCCTGCATGGTCTCACCCCCACTCACCCATATTAAGATGATTTAATTAATTACTTATTTAAGGGGAATTTGTGAAGCAAACAACGCCCTTAGAAGGGCTTTAAGAGTCCCTGAATCTTGCAGTAACCAGCCTGAAGCCTTCAACACTGCCACTCTTCTGGTCACGTGAGGGTGTCCAGCAGTTGTTGTTGTTTTAGATTTACCGACTCAGAACGAAGTGTCCATGTAGCACGGACTATGGTGAGCCCGTAAATGTCCAGCAGCTGGACACCCTCATAAACACTATCAAGCAGTATCCACCCTCCTGCGATAGCAGCCTCACCATTAAATGCGACCTCAGCACACACTATACACTTACTGAACACAAATTTTACCACTTACGGGCTATTCATGCTCGTGCCACCTCTTGGGTGGTTCAATTCAAGTTCAAGTATGTTTATTGAGATAAGAAAGAAATACATCTCAAAGGGATAGAGTAGCTTAGGCTATTTCTACCCCCCTCTACTTCAAGTCCCTCAAGGGGCGCACAAATGCTGTGAGTACAAATAGACAAATAACATTACAAGAATCCCATTTAACATTACAGGTTAATATAGTAAGTACAGCATATAATTGTTACACTCTTGGGGCAAAATTCTTGTAGCTCCTAAGTATACTGTCTATCATACCATTATCACACATCGAAACAATTTGATGTGGTACACTACTTTGGTGGTTCAGTCTTCACCAATCAATCAATCTTAAGGGGAATTAGTGGAGAGTAAGCTAATCCAACGTGTTGGTTAATCCCCCATGAAGCAGGGCCATACCTCCTTCCTAATTGATTGTGGTAGCTTCACTCTGCGGCGAGCGGCAGACACAATACTTGAGGGCAACAACCATTTTGCCCCAAGAGTGTAACACTTATACGCTGTGTTTACTGTATTAACCTGCAATGTTAAATGGATTCTTGTACTGTGATTTGTGCGCCCCTTGAGGGACTTGAAGTAGAAGAGGGTAAATATAGCCTAAGCTACTCAATCTTTTTGAGATGTATTTTATTGTCTCAATAAACGTACTTGAACTTAACAGACTTCATCAGCTACTACTGCCACCACTACCACCAGGGAGGTGGTGGTGGTAGTGGCCGCTGGTGGTGGTAGTGGTGGTGGTGGCAGCTTGTAGCCTGGTCTGAGGTAATCATAGTCACCTGTTTCTGGTGTTATATACTTTATGGATTATTATACACGTTCTTGATTATTGGGTTTGTGTTTGTGACAACTGCGATCCTCGTCTTGAAGCAGCGTGTGGTGTCGGGGTGTGTGATCTTGACAAGCACAGTGATGCTGTGCTTGAAAATAAAATGAAAAGTGTTTTGAGTAAGGCATAGATGAGAGTTTATATATATAGTTTGGTCTATTACAGGCTACGGTAGTACACATCTTCTATAGTTGATGTCTGAAAGATTAGTTACTTAATATCTTGTATTGATGACCTGCCCGAAATGTTTTCCGTGTTAATTAAGTGACCTTGTCAAGGATGTACCGCCTATAATTACCAATGTATGTACTTTCATAACCTATTGTACCATCTTGTATTAAAAAAATAATGAAACTTGATTTTGGGGTTAGATATGTTGTGTTGATAGCGTCAGCTAGTTAGATTAATTCAATTATAAACTAAACTAACATATAACGCGTATTAGGCCTATGATTGTTAAGTTAGGTCTCTTTAGCACCATAAATAGAAAAAACTTTTTCAGTTTGTCCAAATTGAGTAATACAAAAGTCTATATTTACTATTAACTCCATCACGTCTATATTTGGACGATCAAGCACATCGTTGTTAATTAATGAGGATGGCCAGGCATAAGACCCGTGCTGCCATCTGTGACGACACCCACATGTGCTCTGCCACATTTTAAGATTGATTGATAAAGATTAAGCCACCGCAAGAGGTGGCACGGGCATGAATAGCCCGAAACACATTTTAATTTAGGCTTCTGCTTGTCTTTAGTGTTTTTCCTGCCCGAAACGCTTTGCGTAATAGTGGCTTTAGGCATTGTATGTACTAGCTCTATATATAAATCCATCATGTTTGTATCTCATCTTGTATGTATTTACTTTACCTGAATAAACATTTGAATTTTTTGAATTTTTGAATATGACATTTCCATTTGTGTGCGTCTGGTGAAATCAAACACCATAGGCGATAATCTTTTTATTAATTATACAATATTTGCAACTGTAAGTTGCATGTAAAAGTTGCACCTGCTGTTGCTAGTATGTTGCTGCTGGAAATTTATTTGCATCTTGGCGGTTGCTAGTACGTTGTGTCTGCGGTTGATATTAGAGTGCAACTGTGAGTTGCAGCCTATGGTGTGCATGTGTAGGGAATACATGTTAATACATCTTCAGAAGGACTCCTTCTGAAGATGTATTAATATACGAAAATACTTAAGGAAATTCCTGTTTCATTTTTCCTCCGTGGTCTGACATTGTCATATATATATATATATATATATATATATATATATATATATATATATATATATATATATATATATATATATATATATATATATATATATATATATATATATATATATATATAATATACTTACCGTTGGTAGCTTGAGTAGACTGCTGTTTTCCCTTTTTGAGTGGGTTCTTAAGCCGCTAGCTGGCGCGCTAAGGGTTACTCATCTCAGTCTTACGGTAGATGACTGTACGGTAGATGACTGTACGGTAGATGACTGTACGGTAGATGAGTGATGGTGTTTAGTGATCCTGAGTCACTAAACACCTGAGTCACTGAGACCTTAATCATCGAAGCCTAACCTACACAATATATATATTTAGGAATAATATGCTAAACAGAATGTATATTTTTTATTAGTTTAAGCAACAATTACAGTTTCATATTACATTAGTGTACATAAAAATATCCCTTAATAATATTGATTTGCATACATAGAAACTCGTATATTTGTGTAAAATATTTTCCCCTCTTATTTAAGTAATGACATGTGGTTATCTAGTGATGACGTCATCAAGCTCAAGCAAGCGCTTGATTGGTTGTGTCTGTTCCAGTGGTTATAGGCTCTAATACACACACACACACACACACACACACACACACACACACACACACACACACACACACACACACACACACACACACACACACACACACACACACACACACGCACACACACACAGGCCCAGATGGCGTTTCACCATGGGTTCTGAGAGAATGTGCATCTGAGCTCAGCATTCCACTTCACCTGATCTTTCAGGCATCCCTGTGTACAGGAATCGTAGCAGACGTGTGGAAACAGGCTAACATAGTTCCAATCTACAAAAGTGGCAGCAGGGAAGACCCCCTCAATTATAGACCTGTATCATTGACAAGTGTAATAGTGAAAGTATTGGAAAAGCTAATCAAAACTAAATGGGTAGAACACCTGGAGAGAAATGATATAATATCAGACAGACAGTATGGTTTTCGATCAGGAAGATCCTGTGTATCGAATTTACTCAGTTTCTACGATCGGGCCACAGAGATATTACAGGAAAGAGATGGCTGGGTTGACTGCATCTATCTGGACCTAAAAAAGGCTTTCGACAGAGTTCCACATAAGAGGTTGTTCTGGAAACTGGAAAATATTGGAGGGGTGACAGGTAAGCTTCTATCATGGATGAAAAATTTTCTGACTGATAGAAAAATGAGGGCAGTAATCAGAGGCAATGTATCGGAATGGAGAAATGTCACAAGTGGAGTACCACAGGGTTCAGTTCTTGCACCAGTGATGTTTATTGTGTACATAAATGATCTACCAGTTGGTATACAGAATTATATGAACATGTTTGCTGATGATGCTAAGATAATAGGAAGGATAAGAAATTTAGATGACTGTCATGCCCTTCAAGAAGACCTGGACAAAATAAGTATATGGAGCACCACTTGGCAAATGGAATTTAATGTTAATAAATGTCATGTTATGGAATGTGGAATAGGAGAACATAGACCCCATACAACCTATATATTATGTGAGAAATCTTTAAAGAATTCTGATAAAGAAAGAGATCTAGGAGTGGTTCTAGATAGAAAACTATCACCTGAGGACCACATAAAGAATATTGTGCAAGGAGCCTATGCTATGCTTTCTAACTTCAGAATTGCATTTAAATACATGGATGGCGATATACTAAAGAAATTGTTCATGACTTTTGTTAGGCCAAAGCTAGAATATGCAGCTGTTGTGTGGTGCCCATATCTTAAGAAGCACATCAACAAACTGGAAAAGGTGCAAAGACATGCTACTAAGTGGCTCCCAGAACTGAAGGGCAAGAGCTACGAGGAGAGGTTAGAAGCATTAAATATGCCAAAACTAGAAGACAGAAGAAAAAGAGGTGATATGATCACTACGTACAAAATAGTAACAGGACTTGATAAAATCGACAGGGAAGACTTCCTGAGACCTGGAACTTCAAGAACAAGAGGTCATAGATTTAAACTAGCTAAACACAGATGCCGAAGAAATATAAGAAAATTCACCTTCGCAAATAGAGTGGTAGACGGTTGGAACAAGTTAAGTGAGAAGGTGGTGGAGGCCAAGACCGTCAGTAGTTTCAAAGCGTTATATGACAAAGAGTGCTGGGAAGACGGGACACCACGAGCGTAGCTCTCATCCTGTAACTACACTTAGGTAATTACACTTAGGTAATTACACACACACAGCGTTATATGACAAAGAGTGTTGGGAAGACGGGACACCACGAGCGTAGCTCTCATCCTGTAACTACACTTAGGTAATTACACACACACACACACACACACACACACACACACACACACACACACACACACACACACACACACACACACACACACACACACACACACACACACACACACACACACACACACACACACACACACACACACACACACACACACACACACACACACACACACACACACACACACACACACACACACACACACACACACACACACACACACACGCACTACGTAACAGACAAACTCAAACAAGCTGAAGAAGATTTATACCACCACTAAGTTACGGGACACAAGACGAGCATAGTTGGTGGTTCAACAGACAGTATCTGGAGGCAAAGACAAGAGTATGGAGAATTATAGAGAACACAAAGAAGCCAAGGTAATCACAGTGCACACAAAGACGCCAGAAAGGAAAACACAGAAATTAGGAGAGTGGCAGAGAAGACTGGTGCAAGGCTAAGTCCTAGGCACAACTGTTCCATAGTCATTTCAGGAGTAAGATGATTAAATGATTAGGTAATCAGACTTGACAAGAGTAAGGGAGGACACACCGAAAACGATAAGGAGGTATGCGAGAACGTTATTAAAAGGTTTCAGGAAGTATTCAAGCTGGAACCTGATTTGCCACTAGAGATTCGAGCCCAAACTGAACGGGGAAGTTCCACAGGAAAAAATTACTTAAATAACAGTGACACCAGAAGAAGTAAAGAAATAGCTGCAGGAACTGGATGCGACAAAGGCCATTGGAACAGACTAAATATCGCCATGGTTACTAAAAAAGGCAACTGAAACATTATGTAGCCAACTTGCCATAATATTTAATTCCTCTTTAGAAGCAGAACTTTCTATCTGCTGGAAATGGCTAATGTGGTGCCAATCCACAAAAAAGAGGGAAGAGAGAAACCGTTAAACTACAGACCAGTATCACTAACATGTATCCCCCCCCCTGCAAGTTACTAGAGAGACTGATCCGAAGCTGGCTAGTACAACATTTGGAACAGAGCAATTTTGTCTCAAGGCACCCGCATGGTTTCATTAAAAGAAAATCTTGCTTAACAAACTTATAGGAGTTCTACAACAAGATGATATAAATCAAACAAGCAAGAGAGAGAGAGAGAGAGGGGAAGGCTAACTGCATATTCTCTGACTGTCAGAAGGCACTTGATACGGTCCCATATGAAACACTCCAACTCAAACTAAGAACGCAAGCTAACATATCTGGAAGAGTCCTAAGATGGGTCAGAGAGTATCTCGAGAAGGAAGCAAATAGTGAGAGCAGAGACATCGGAGTTGAGAGAAGTTATGGGTGGAATACCACAAGAGCCTCCTAGGGCCCATCCTGTTTATATGCCAATGATTTGACAGAGAAAATTGACCTGGAAACACAAACCGAAACTATCTCTTATTTTCAGCTTGTTACAACTTGTAATAAAGTTGTTACATCTTGGCTTAACGTGTTTATGACGTATTAGAACGTTGTTACAACTTGTTATATTGGTTGTTATAACTGGTTAGGAAGTGTTAAAACTTGTTCGAACGTTGTACCAACGTTGTAGTTTCGGTGTGTGTTTGGCGGGTGGCTCCTTCATATCAGTTTTTGCAGATTGTGCAAAACTAATGAGAAGAGTTAGGTCAGGGATAGATTGTGATGGCAAGCGGATTTAGACTCACTCCGGTAAAAAATGAAAAAAAACTGCTGGAATTTAACCCAGTCAAATGCAAAGTTATGAGGATTGGAACAGAAGTTCGAAGACCAGCACAGCAGTATACGATGAAGGGAAGACAAATTCCTCAATCACAAAAGGAGAAAGACCTGGGAGTGGACATAACTCCAAATCTGATGCCAGAAGGTTATCTTGAGGGTATCTTGAGATGATTTCGGGCTTTAGTGTCCCCGCGGCCCGGTCCTCGACCAGGCCTCCACCCCCAGGAAGCAGCCCGTGACAGCTGACTAACACCCAGGTACCTATTTTACTGCTAGGTAACAGGGGCATAGGGCGAAAGAAACTGTGCCCATTGTTTCTCGCCGGAGGCTGGGATCGAACTCAGGACCACAGGATCACAAGTCCAGCGTGCTGTCCGCTCGGCCGACCGGCTCCCCTATCCTTCAGAAACTTGGACAATGGAGCTTTCCAGGTCCTATATACAGCGAAGGTCAGACCCACTCTTGAATATGCAGCCTCAGCATGGAATCCTCATCTAAAAAAGGACAAGGTAAAGCTAGAAAAGGGCCAAAGATATGCAACGAGACTCGTTCCGGAACTGAGGGGATTGAGCTATGATGAAAGATTGAGAGCACTGGAGCTTACCACAGTGGAGGTCAGGGGAGATAAGGGGAGGGGGGACATGATAACAACATATTAAGATTATAAGGGAAACTGACATAGTAGCATTGTTCAAGGCTTGGAACAGCAGAACAAGGGGGTCACAGATGGAAACTAGAGACACAAGCAGGCGATGAGTCACAATAACGTGGCTGAAGTATGTTGACCAGACCACACACTAGAAGTTGAAGGGACGACGACGTTTCGGTCCGTCCTGGACCATTCTCAAGTCGAATGAGAATGGTCCAGGACGGACCGAAACGTCGTCGTCCCTTCAACTTCTAGTGTGTGGTGTGGTCAACACTAGAGACACAAGTGAGTCATAGAGCAGAACAAACTTTGTCAGTGTTAGAGCTGTTAATAAGTGTGTGTATTAGAGCTAATGCTCTATCTAACAATAAATATTAGATGGAGAAGTCGTTGAAGTTAATTCGATTCAGAATTTTAAATGTAAATATGATAAAAGCGTGAGAAATAAGTCATTGCATTAATCTATAAACATTAATAAGGCGGGGCCAGGAGCCTAGCTCGACCCTACAATCACATCTAGGTGAGTACACACACACACATTTAATAGAGCTAATTTTATAGTTAAAGCAAAACATACCAGTTCCTTGGGTCTATATATAGGCCTATATACAGTTAGGGGGGGGGGGGGGGGGAGAACCAAGCGTACTCACCAATAGTGGCATTCACTGGGCGTTCCTTATATCACAGTGGCTATATGCAGTCAAGTAACGTTGGGGTCAGGTCGTGTCTAGATCACGTTCACGTTGGGGTCAGGTCGTGTCTAGATCATGTTCACGTCGTGTTCTGGTTGTGTCTGTCATGTTCACGTTGTGGTCAGGTCGTGTCTAGATCACGTTCACGTCGTGTTCTGGTCGTGTCTAGATCATGTTCACGTCGTGTTCTGGTCGTGTCTGTCACGTTCACGTTGGGGTCAGGTCGTGTCTAGATCACGTTCACGTCGTGTTCTGGTCGTGTCTGTCATGTTCACGTTGGGGTCAGGTCGTGTCTAGATCATGTTCACGTTGGGGTCAGGTCGTGTTTGTCACGTTCACGTCGTGTTCTGGTCGTGTCTAGATCACGTTCACGTCGTGTTCTGGTCGTGTCTGTCATGTTCACGTTGTGGTCAGGTCGTGTCTAGATCATATTCACGTCGTGTTCTGGTCGTGTCTGTCATGTTCACGTTGTGGTCAGGTCATGTCTAGATCATGTTCACGTCGTGTTCTGGTCGTGTTTGTCATGTTCACGTTGTGGTCAGGTCGTGTCTAGATCATGTTCACGTCGTGTTCTGGTCGTGTTTGTCACGTTCACGTTGGGGTCAGGTCGTGTCTAGATCATGTTCACGTCGTGTTCTGGTCGTGTTTGTCATGTTCACGTTGTGGTCAGGTCGTGTCTAGATCATGTTCACGTCGTGTTCTGGTCGTGTTTGTCATGTTCCCGTTGTGGTCAGGTCGTGTCTAGATCATGTTCACGTCGTGTTCTGGTCGTGTTTGTCATGTTCACGTTGTGGTCAGGTCGTGTCTAGATCATGTTCACGTCGTGTTCTGGTCGTGTCTAGATCATGTTCACGTCGTGTTCTGGTTGTGTTTGTCATGTTCTATCGTGCTCAGGCCATGTTCTGGCCGTGTTTAGATCATGTTCAGGTCATGTTTATGTCGCGTTCAGGTCATGTTTATGTCGCGTTCAGGTCATGTTTATGTCGTGTTCAGGTCATGTTTATGTCGTGTTCAGGTCATGTTTATGTCGTGTTCAGGTCATGTTTATGTCGTGTTCAGGTCATGTTTATGTCGTGTTCAGGTCATGTTTATGTCGTGTTCAGGTCATGTTTATGTCGTGTTCAGGTCATGTTTATGTCGTGTTCAGGTCATGTTTATGTCGTGTTCAGGTCATGTTTATGTCGTGTTCAGGTCATGTTTATGTCGTGTTCAGGTCATGTTTATGTCGTGTTCAGGTCATGTTTATGTCGTGTTCAGGTCATGTTTATGTCGTGTTCAGGTCATGTTTATGTCGTGTTCAGGTCATGTTTATGTCTTGTTCAGGTCATGTTTATGCCGTGTTCAGGTCATGTTTATGCCGTGTTCAGGTCATGTTTATGTCGTGTTCAGGTCATGTTTATGTCGTGTTCAGGTCATGTTTATGTCGTGTTCAGGTCATGTTTATGTCGTGTTCAGGTCATGTTTATGTCGTGTTCAGGTCATGTTTATGTCGTGTTCAGGTCATGTTTATGTCTTGTTCAGGTCATGTTTATGTCGTGTTCAGGTCATGTTTATGTCGCGTTCAGGTCATGTTTATGTCGTGTTCAGGTCATGTTTATGTCGTGTTCAGGTCATGTTTATGTCGTGTTCAGGTCATGTTTATGTCGTGTTCAGGTCATGTTTATGTCGTGTTCAGGCCTGCGGAACACCAAGTAATGCTTGCTAACACTTGCCCATCTAGAAAGAAAGTCTAGAAAGTAACTTCACCACAGTAAACGACGTGCCAGGAGTCCTTGCCTAGCCACCAGGCCTTCACAACCTCACACCAAACTCTACACAAGAGGGCATAATCTCCAACTTAAAAGCAGTCAACGTTGATTCGGGAATTGATGACGTTGCTTGAACGTCACACCAACGCCACTTTTGGATATTGTGCCCACTGGGTATAACTGGTTAATAATATATCACCCATATTATAGGACTTCAGTCACCACCTACAATGCTATAAGAAGCTTATCTGTTAAAAAAAGCATACTAAAACTCCCCCTTTTTTTTAGTATCTGGATATACTCATCCCTATAGATGTTAACATACACCTTCATACATGCTTTTAAATACATAGTCAAAGACGACTGCGGCTACAACCAATTACAGTAACTCTAATTATAAAATGGCCAATTATATAAGAGTTACAAGACTATGTCAGTGGGAATAATGTCTAAGTTCAAGTTCAAGGATGTTTATTGAGACAAGAAAGAAATACATCTCAAAGGAATAGAGTAGCTTAGGCTATTTGTACTTCCCTAATGTGTAAGAGCGACGCCATTTCAACGGCCGACGTTGAGCCAACGTCGAACTGACGTTCTTCTTGCCCCATTATGTCCACTGTGGTGTTATTTCATCAATAATATCATTCCAACATTTGTTATTAATCACATTAAAGGTATTATCATTCGGCCAATATATTTAATTATCTTCACGTGTGTGGTGTCCTTCGTGACCCTTCTGACAAGGGTGTCTGCTGACAAGGGTGGCCCTTCAGACAAGGGTGTCTGCTGACAAGGGTGGCTCATCTGACAAGAGTGTCTGCTGACAAGGGTGGCCCTTCAGACAAGGGTGTCTGCTGACAAGGGTGGCCCTTCAGACAAGGGTGGCTCATCTGACAAGGGTGACCCTTCTGCCAAGGGTGGCTCATCTGAAAAGGGTGACTCTTCTGACAAGGGTGGTTCATCTGACAAGGGTGACCCTTCTGACAAGGGTGGCTCATCTGACAAGGGTGGCCCTTCAGACAATTGTGGCTCATCTGACAAGGGTGACCCTTCTGACAAGGGTGGCCCTTCAGACAATTGTGGCTCATCTGACAAGGGTGACCCTTCTGACAAGGGTGGCCCTTCAGACAATTGTGGCTCATCTGACAAGGGTGACCCTTCTGACAAGGGTGTCTGCTGACAAGGGTGTCTGCTGACAAGGGTGGCTCATCTGACAAGGGTGTCTGCTGACAAGGGTGTCTGCTGACAAGGGTGGCTCATCTGAGAAGGGTGTCTGCTGATAAGGGGTGTCTGCTGACAAGGGTGGCTCATCTGACAAGGGTGGCCAGGAAGCAGAGGGCAGCCAGCAGACAAGTGTTGGAAGAGATCCCTGCTGGAGAACCGCTCCCTTCCTCTCTCTGCAGCGTTATCTGGCAATATATATATTATCTTAGAGACGATGATTTACATTCCCCTGAAAGACGAAGAGTCACAGTATCTAGAGAGGCGAAGAGGAGAGGGTAGAATGAATAAAGAACACGTGTGTGTATAAAAGGGTATAAGGAGGTGGGGTATAAGTAAGGTATAAGGAGGTGGGGTATAAGTAAGGTATAAGGAGGTGGGGTATAAGTAAGGTATTAAATATATCAACACAAAATAAAATTCAAAACAATGATTATAAATAACAAATGATTCAGGAAAGACCTGGGGTAAATACTGGTTTAGAAGCAGGGTTGTTGATGAACAAATCCACAAGGGCCGTGAAAAGGATTCGAACCTGCGTCCGAGAGTATCCCAGACGCAGGTTCGAATCCTCGTCACGGCCTTTGTGGGTTTCTTCATTTGATGCATCACGCAATTGTGAATTCTGTGTGTAAGGGTTGTTGATTTCTGAAACAAATTACCTGGGTAACATAATACACGTAGGATCTCTCTAGTGTTTCAAGCGTAGGTGAGACATGTATATAAATGAGTCTGGGTGGATACAAATAGGAACTGTCACGTAAGGACGCTCCTTTTGCAGTTTCATTTATTCTGATGCTCTTTATTGTGATTTATTTTCAGGTAAGGTAGGAGAGAGAGAGAGAGGTGTTGACACTAGAGGTCAGCTCTCCTCGTCCCCCAGCGACACAGACAGGTAAGGTGGGTGTAGCTGGAGAAATAGGCAGAGATATACGAGAAGAATAGTGAAGATCAGGTCAATGTAAAAGTATTTTAACTTCAAATAAGCTTTCAGGCACTTTGGCGTTGATTGCCGGAGCTTAGACGAGAGAAACTATGTAATATACAGATAATTAACCACAATATCGTGACTGACGAGCAAACAAGCCGACCAATACATATAATGCTAAATGAAAGTAGCCACGTTTCGGTCCGTTCTGGACCCTTATTAAATTATCACTTGGTAATGGTCCAGGATGGACCGAAACGTAGTCACTCACATTAATTCACATGTGTGGGATGGGTTATTTATTTAAGATGTAATTTACATGTTGTAAACGCTATAGAAGGCCGCATTTACGCAAGAACTTACGAAATTGAAATTGAAATAAGTTTATTGAGGTAAAATACACACAAAGGGATGAGGTAGCTCAAGCTATTCTCACCCCGTTCAGTACATCGTGTTAATACATACATATACACACATCACAAGCAATAAACATATTACCAAACATTCTGAGAGATAAACATATACATTTCCTCCTTTACACAAGTAAGCACTTACGAACTTGTACATCTTTTCTCAATCTATGGCGGCTTAGTTTACAATTATTAAACAGTTAATGAGCTCCGAAGCACCAGGAGGCTGTTTATAACAATAACAACAGTTGATTGAGAAGTTTTCATGCTTGTAAACTGTTTAATAAATGTAAACAAAGCCGTCAAAGATTGAGGAAAGATGTACACGTTCGTAAGTGCTTGCGTAACTGCTTCGTGAATCCGGGTCCATATGGAGGACGTGCATGAAAGGTTTAATTATAATTATATTTTTACTAGATAATTATATTTTCACTATATGTCGTCAATTGTTTAGTAGGATTAGATAAAATACAAAACAGCATCACTGAACAAATATCAAGATTTGCAAGACGTGAAATGGAACATAAAAAGACCAAAAATGTGGTTGCTTGCATTTGGAAAGCAGTAACAGCCTAGTTCATCAGGCCATTATTGGATAATACGGTCTAAGGCTGTCCTCGTCTGAGTCTGAGTCTTACAGACTAAAGCCATCTAAGATATGGCAGACAATTCTTGGAGTCATATTTTGCCTTACATTTCTTTATGTAAAATTAACGCACATGTAGGGTTAGGAAGGGTCTCTCAGAGAACCGGGAAGACATCGCCCACGACTCTTTTTTGTTTTGTTTTAAGTCTCGTGCCAACATATATATAGGAAATATTGCTGGAACGACGTTAGCTTTCGGGAAAATCTTAACAAGTTTCTGCTCAAGTTACTGGCTCAGCCTGGCTGTGATATCGGTATGCTCTTCCTAGTGAGAAGACAGATGACGGGTGGCAGGTTGGGCAGGGATCCTAACCTAACCTAACCCAATCTAACGTAACCTAACCTAACCTAACGTAACCTAACATAACGTAACCCAACCTAACCTAACGCAACGTAACCCAACCCAACCTAACCTAACCCAACCTAATGTAACCTAACCTAATGTAACCCAATCTAACCTAACGTGATTTAAACTAACGTAACGTAACCCACCCTAACCTAACCAAACGTAATCTAACCTAACGTAACCTAACCCAATCGAACAACCTAATCCACCCTAACATAACGTAACCTAACCAAATGTAACCTAACCTAACAACCTAACCCAACCTAACGTAACTTATCCTAACCTACATTAATCTATATAGCATTTTATCTCCTGAGTCTCTTTTCTATCTTTGGGTTTGGTTAGGCTTCTTTAATTATCACAGTCTTCACAGGCAGCATAATATCTCACAGCATCCCAGCTTCTCTTGCCAGCCTTTACCTGGAACACGAACTATCAGTCGCTTTACAACCATGCCCACAACAGTCAACTCTCAAAACATTAACCAAATGCTTGTTAATTAATCCAAACATCTTCCTAACTGTCTCTGAATGAAACAACCTGTCCTCATGCCAGTAGTACTCCTCCGAACGGCTGGAGTAACTAGCACTTAGCCTTTGTTGATGAGGACGGGCTGTTACATGCGACGGATGAAGTTCCAACATTTCTCGAACAGTGTTTTGCTGACGACTTCTGTTCAAACCACAACCTTGTAAATGCTTCACCCACTTACTACAAATTATCGCCAACAGAATCTAAGCACCTAACTTAATCTGTGCCTAACCTAACCTAACCTAACCTAACCTATGCTTAACCTAACCTAACCTAACCTAACCTAACCTAACCTATGCCTAACCTAACCTATGCCTAACCTAACCTAACCTAACCTATGCCTAACCTAACCTAACCTAACCTAACCTAACCTAACCTATGCCTAACCTAACCTATGCCTAACCTAACCTAACCTAACCTATGCCTAACCTAACCTAACCTAACCTATGCCTAACCTAACCTAACCTAACCTAACCTAACCTAACCTAACCTATGCCTAACCTAACCTATGCCTAACCTAACCTAACCTATGCCTAACCTAACCTATGCTTAACCTAACCTAACCTATGCCTAACCTAACTTAACCTATGCCTAACCTAACTTAACCTAACCTAACCTATGCCTAACCTAACCTAACCTAACCTATGCCTAACCTAACTTAACCTAACCTAACCTATGCCTAACCTAACTTAACCTATGCCTAACCTAACCTAACCTATGCCTAACCTAACCTAACCTAACCTAACCTAACCTAACCTAACCTATGCCTAACCTAACCTATGCCTAACCTAACCTAACCTATGCCTAACCTAACTTAACCTAACCTAACCTAACCTAACCTAACCTAACCTATGCCTAACCTAACCTATGCCTAACCTAACCTAACCTAACCTATGCCTAACCTAACCTAACCTAACCTAACCTAACCTATGCCTAACCTAACCTATGCCTAACCTAACCTAACCTATGCCTAACCTAACCTATGCTTAACCTAACCTAACCTATGCCTAACCTAACTTAACCTATGCCTAACCTAACTTAACCTAACCTAACCTAACCTATGCCTAACCTAACCTAACCTAACCTAACCTAACCTAACCTAACCTATGCCTAACCTAACTTAACCTAACCTAACCTATGCCTAACCTAACTTAACCTAACCTAACTTAACCTATGCCTAACCTAACCTAACTTAACCTAACCTAACCTAACCTATGCCTAACCTAACTTAACCTAACCTAACCTATGCCTAACCTAACTTAACCTAACCTAACCTATGCCTAACCTAACTTAACCTAACCTAACCTATGCCTAACCTAACCTAACCTAACCTAACCTATGCCTAACCTAACTTAACCTAACCTTACAGACCGATAGCACTAACATCGCACATCATAAAAATTTTTGAGAGAGTGCTAAGAAGTAAGATCACAAAATACATGGAATCACAGCATCTCCATAACCCCGGACAACATGGTTTCAGAACAGGGCGCTCTTGCCTGTCGCAGTTGCTGGACCACTATGATATGGCATTAGATGCTATGGAAGACAAACAAAACGCTGATGTAATTTACACAGATTTCGCAAAAGCTTTTGATAAATGTGACCATGGTGTTATTGCACATAAAATGCGTTCAAAAGGAATTACCGGGAAAATAGGCAGATGGATCTACAATTTCCTGACTGACAGAACCCAATGTGTAATAGTCAACAAAATAAAATCCAGCCCATCAACCGTGAAGAGCTCAGTCCCCCAGGGTACTGTGCTTGCTCCAGTACTTTTTCTCATCCTCATATCGGACATAGACAAGAACACAACCTATAGCACTGTATCATCCTTTGCAGATGACACTAGGATTTTCATGAGAGTTGGCAACATAGAGGACACGGCAAACCTCCAATCAGATGTAGATCAGGTCTTTCTATGGGCTACAGAAAATAATATGGTATTCAACGAGGATAAGTTTCAGCTCATGCGATACGGAAAAATTGAAAATATAAAAACAGAAACCACGTACAAAACGCAGGCAAATCATAACATAGAACGAAAAGGCAATGTAAAGGACCTGGGTGTACTCATGTCGGAAGACCTTACCTTTAAAGAACACAATAAAGTAGCCATCACAACTGCAAGAAAAATGACAGGTTGGATAACAAGAACTTTTCACACTAGAGATGCTATACCGATGATGATACTTTTCAAAACGCTTGTGCTCTCTAGAGTGGAGTACTGCTGCACAATGACAGCCCCTTTCAAAGCTGGAGAAATTGCTGACCTAGAGAGCGTGCAGAGATCCTTTACTGCTAGAATCCACTCAGTAAAACATCTAAATTACTGGGACCGACTAAAGAGCCTAAATCTGTACTCCCTTGAGCGCAGGCGGGAGAGATACATAATAATTTACACGTGGAAAATAATTGAGGGGCTGGTCCCAAACCTGCACACAGAAATAACACCACATGAGACCAGAAGACATGGCAGGATGTGCAGAATACCCCCGTTGAAAAGCAGAGGTGCAACAGGTACTCTGAGAGAGAACTCTATCAACATCAGAGGCCCGAGACTGTTCAACACGCTTCCACTACACATAAGGGGCATAACTGGCCGACCCCTCACAGTGTTCAAGAGAGAACTGGATAAGCACCTCCAAAGGATACCTGATCAACCAGGCTGTGATTCATACGTCAGGCTGCGAGCAGCCGCGTCTAACAGCCTGGTTGATCAGTCCAGCAACCAGGAGGCCTGGTCGACGACCGGGCCGCGGGGACACTAAGCCCCGGAAGCACCTCAAGGTAGCCTCAAGGTAGGTAACCTAACTTAACCTATGCCTAACCTAACCTAACTTAACCTAACCTAACCTAACCTATGCCTAACCTAACTTAACCTAACCTAACTTAACCTATGCCTAACCTAACCTAACTTAACCTAACCTAACCTAACCTATGCCTAACCTAACTTAACCTAACCTAACCTATGCCTAACTATCCATAGAACTTTAATATATAATAATATAATTTATATATGAGAACAAACCTATTTTTAATAGATAATCCGTTACAATTTATTGATGTGTCTTGGGGGGGGGGGGGTACGGCGGCCGCTTTAACGAGCCTGAGAACAGATTGAAATAATCGCCAACCCCTAAACATCTGACCTAACAACACATTTAAGCATGCACAATATGCTAACATATTATAATGTATATTGGAGAACAATCCTATTTCGAGGGAACAGTATGTTACAATTGGTGAACGCGTGTCTTGGGGTCGGCCGCCGGATGGAATGAAGATAACCTGAGGATGATGAGTTCAGTTCTCAGTAGTATTCCTTTCACAACAAAATATTTTTCTCCGCCTCATATACAGAATTTAGTCATTATGTTATCAGTTAGCAACATTATGGATTTATTCCTTGTGTTGTCAACTGCCAACAGTTAGGATTTAATCCTTGTGTTGTCAACTGCCAACAGTTAGGATTTATTCCTTGTGTTGTCAACTGCCAACAGTTAGGATTTAATCCTTGTGTTGTCAACTGCCAACAGTTAGGATTTAATCCTTGTGTTGTCAACTGCCAACAGTTAGGATTTAATCCTTGTGTTGTCAACTGACAACAGTTAGGATTTAATCCTTGTGTTGTCAACTGACAACAGTTAGGATTTAATCCTTGTGTTGTCAACTGCCAACAGTTAGGATTTAATCCTTGTGTTGCCAACTGCCAACAGTTAGGATTTAATCCTTGTGTTGTCAACTGACAACAGTTAGGATTTAATCCTTGTGTTGTCAACTGACAACAGTTAGGATTTAATCCTTGTGTTGTCAACTGACAACAGTTAGGATTTAATCCTTGTGTTGTCAACTGACAACAGTTAGGATTTAATCCTTGTGTTGTCAACTGCCAACAGTTAGGATTTAATCCTTGTGTTGTCAACTGACAACAGTTAGGATTTAATCCTTGTGTTGTCAACTGACAACAGTTAGGATTTAATCCTTGTGTTGTCAACTGATAACAGTTAGGATTTAATCCTTGTGTTGTCAACTGACAAGAGTTAGGATTTAATCCTTGTGTTGTCAACTGACAACAGTTAGGATTTAATCCTTGTGTTGTCAACTGCCAACATTATCACCAACAACAATGAGCTGCAGCAACACAGGCACCTCAGCAAAGAGAGCATACGGGGGATGCCTGATACTAACCACAACAGGCGGAGCGGCCTCCACCCGCAGCTCCTCCTCCTCGTCACTGACGGGGACCTGACACTGGTAGCTGCCGGCGTCAGCGGCTGACACCTCGCGGATCTGTCAAGAGCAGACATTAGTCACGGCGTCAGCTGTGTCCAGGCTTGACATGACGTGTCATGCAGTAACACAGGTGTCATGCTGTAACACAGGTGTCATGCTGTAACACAGATGTCATGCAGTAACACAGGTGTCATGCAGTAACACAGGTGTCATGCTGTAACACAGGTGTCATGCTGTAACACAGGTGTCATGCAGTAACACAGGTGTCATGCAGTAACACAGGTGTCATGAAGTGTAACAGGTAATGAAGTACCAGAAGAAGTAACATGCAGTAACACAGGTGTCATGCAGTAACACAGGTGTCATGCTGTAACACAGGTGTCATGTAGTAACACAGGTGTCATGCAGTAACACAGGTGTCATGCAGTAACACAGGTGTCATGCAGTAACACAGGTGTCATGCAGTAACACAGATGTCATGCAGTAACACAGATGGCATGCAGTAACACAGGTGTCATGCAGTAACACAAGCACCACACAGTAACACAGGCACCACACAATAACACAGGCACCACACAGTAACACAAGCACCACACAGTAACACAAGCACCACACAGTAACACAGGCACCACCACACAGTAACACAAGCACCACACAGTAACACAGGCACCAACACACAGTAACACAGGCACCACACAATAACACAGGCACCACACAGTAACACAACCACCACACAGTAACACAGGCACCACCACACAGTAACACAGGCACCACACAGTAACACAAGCACCACACAATAACACTGGCACCACCTCACAGTAACACAGGCACCACACAGTAACACAGGCACCACCACACAGTAATACAGGCACCACACAATAACACAGGCACCACCACACAGTAATACAGGCACCACACAATAACACAGGCACCACCACACAGTAACACAGGCACCACACAGTAACACAACCACCACACAGTAACACAGGCACCACCACACAGTAACACAGGCACAACACAGTAACACAAGCACCACACAGTAACACAGGCACCACCACACAGTAATACAGGCACCACACAATAACACAGGCACCACCACACAGTAACACAGGCACCACACAGTAACACAACCACCACACAGTAACACAGGCACCACCACACAGTAACACAGGCACCACACAGTAACACAGGCACTACACAGTAACACAGGCACCACACAGTAACACAGGAACCACCACATAGTAACAAGCTACACCACACAGTAACACAGGCACCACACAGTAACACAAGCACCACACAGTAACACAGGCACCACACAGTAACACAGGCACCACCACACAATAACACAGGCACCACACAGTAACACAGGCACCACCACACAGTAACACAAGCACCACACAGTAACACAAGCACCACACAGTAACACAAACACCACACAGTAACACAGGCACCACCACACAGTAACACAAGCACCACACAGTAACACAGGCACCACACAGTAACACAAGCACCACACAGTAACATAAGCACCACACAGTAATCACACAGTAACACAGGCACCATAACACAGTAACACAAGCACCACCACACAGTAACACAAGCACCACACAGTAACACAGGCACCACACAGTAACACAAGCACCACCACACAGTAACACAAGCACCACACAGTAACACAAGCACCACACAGCAACACAGGCACCACACAGTAACATAGGCACCATAACACAGTAACACAAGCACCACCACACAGTAACACAAGCACCACACAGTAACACAGGCACCACACAGTAACACAGGCACCACACAGTAACACAGGCACCACACAGTAACACAGGCACCACCACACAATAACACAGGCACCACACAGTAACACAGGCACCACCACACAATAACACAGGCACCACACAGTAACACAGGCACCATAACACAGTAATACAAGCACCACACAGTAACAGAGGCACCACACAGTAACACAGGCACCACCACACAATAACACAGGCACCACACAGTAACACAGGCACCATAACACAGTAACACAAGCACCACACAGTAACACAGGTACCACCACACAATAACACAGGCACCACACAGTAACACAGGCACCACCACACAATAACACAGGCACCACATAGTAACACAAGCACCACACATTAACACAGGTACCACCACACAATAACACAAGCACCACACAGTAACACAGGCACCACCACACAATAACACAGGCACCACACAGTAACACAGGCACCACCACACAATAACACAGGCACCACATAGTAACACAAGCACGACACAGTAACACAGGCACCACCACACAATAACATAGGCACCACACAGTAACACAGGCACCACACAGCAACACAGGCACCACCACACAATAACACAGGGAACACACAGTAACACAGGCACCACACAGTAACACAGGCACCACCACACAATAACACAGGTACCACACAGTAACACAGGCACCACAACTCAGTAACACAAGCACCACACAGTAACACAGGCACCACACAGTAACACAGGCACCACACAGTAACACAGGCACCACACAGTAACACAGGCACCATCACACAATAAAACAGGCGCTACACAATAACACAGGCACCACCACACAATAACACAGGCACCACACAGTAACAAAGGCACCACCACACAGTAACACAGGCACCACCACACGGTAATACAGGCACCACACAATAACACAGGCACCACCACACAGTAACACAGGCACCACACAGTAACACAACCACCACACAGTAACACAGGCACCAGCAAACAGTAACACAAGCACCACACAGTAACACAAACACCACACAGTAACACAGTCACCACACAGTAACACAAGCACCACACAGTAACACAGGCACCACACAGTAACAGAGGCACCACCACACAGTAACACAAGCACCACACAGTAACACAAACACCACACAGTAACACAGCAACCCGTTCTCGCAAATTCGTAAAGTCAATATTGACTTATTAACTAAGTGCATAGGTGATATACTAAACATAATAGATAACCCTAAAAAGATTCATAGAAAACACCGACCTTACCTAACCTTGTTAGTATCTTAAGATAAGCATCTTATTGCTTCGTAATTACAATTATTACTTAACCTATACCTATAATAGGTTAGGTAATAATTGTAATTACGAAGCAATAAGATGCTTATCTTAAGATACTAACAAGGTTAGGTAAGGTCGGTGTTTTCAATGAATGTTTTTAAGGGTAACTATTATGTTAAGTATGTCACCTATGCACATATTTAATAAGTCAATATTGACTTATTAAATTTGCGAGAACTGGTTGAACACAGGCACCACCACACAGTAACACAGGCACCACACAGTAACACAGTCACCACACAGTAACACAAGCACCGCACAGTAACACAGGCACCACCACGCAGTAACACAAGCACCACACAGTAACACAGGCACTACACAGTAACACAGCCACCACCACACAGTAACACAGGCACCACCGCACAGCCACCACCACACAGTAACACAGCCACCACCACACAGTAACACAGTCACCACCACACAGTAACACAAGCACCACACCGTAACACAAGCACCACACAGTAACACAGGCACCACACAGTAACAGAGGCACCACCACACAGTAGCACAGCCACCACCACACAGTAACACAGGCACCACCACACAGTAACACAGGCACCACCACACAGTAACACAGCCACCACCACACAGTAACACAGCCACCACCACACAGTAACACAGCCACCACACAGTAACACAAGCACCACCAAACAGTAACACAGGCACCACCACACAGTAACACAGGTACCACACTTTAACACAAGCACCACACAGTAACACAGGCATCACCACACAGTAACACAATTGCCACACAGTAACACAAGCACCACACAGTAACACAGACACCACACAGTATCACAAACACCACACAGTAACACAAACAACACATAGTAACACAAGCACCAGCCAGTCACACAGGCACCACACAGTAACACAGGCACCACGCAGTAACATAGGCAGCAACACAGGCACCACACAGTAACACAAACACCACACAGTATCACAAACACCACACAGTAACACAGGCACCACACAGTAACACAGGCACCATAACACAGTAACACAAGCACCACCACACAGTAACAAAAGCACCACACACTAACACAAGCACCACACAGTAACACAGGCACCACCACACAGTAACACAAGCACCACCACACAATAACACAGGCACCACACAGTAACACAGGCACCATAACACAGTAACACAGAAGAAAAGCAAAATGCAGATGTTGTATACACAGACTTTGCAAAGGCGTTCGACAAATGTGACCATGGGGTGATAGCTCACAAAATGAGGTCAATGGGAATAACTGGAAAAGTAGGACGCTGGATACTCAATTTCCTGTCGAACAGAACACAAAGAGTAACAGTCAATCAGATAAAATCGAGTCCAAGCGATGTTAAAAGCTCTGTACCTCAAGGTACAGTCCTTGCACCGCTACTGTTCCTTATTCTCATATCTGATATAGACAAAAATACACGCCACAGCTTCGTGTCGTCCTTTGCAGATAACACAAAAATCAGCATGAAAATTACCTCTGCTGAAGACATTGAAAAACTACAAGCAGATGTCAACAAAGTTTTTGATTGGGCAGCAGAAAATAACATGATGTTTAACAGTGATAAATTTCAGGTACTCAGGTACGGCAAAAATGAGGATCTGAAACATAATACAGGGTACAAAACACAATCGAATCTTCCCATAGTAGAAAAACAGCATGTCAAGGATTTGGGAATAATGATGTCCGACGATCTAACGTTTAGGGAGCATAACCAAGCAAATATCGCGTCAGCCAGAAAAATGATCGGATGGATTACGAGAACTTTCAAATCCAGGGATCCCATCACAATGGTTGTACTCTTCAAGTCACTTGTGCTGTCCCGTCTCGAGTACTGCTCAGTACTCACTTCCCCCTTCAGAGCAGGAGAGATTGCTGAAATAGAGGGAATACAGAGAACATATACGGCACGCATAGACGAGA